CGTTAATTCAATTTAGAAAATTCCCAGTTTATTCCCATAAATTCCCGTTTATTGACCTTAATTCCAGTTGATTACCGTTAATTCCCGTTAATTCCCATTAATTCCCATAGAAAGTTTCCATCTTTCAAATTTCCCGGAATTTTGCAACCCTAATCCTGATGCATACTGGCTCGACTAACTAACGTCATTGACCTCACTTCATAATTAAATGCATTGTCAAATATTGGTCCGTTTGTTGGAAATGGGAAATGGACTGCATTTATATTGCATTTTTCCAGTCTTGCACCCATTCACACACATACACAGAGGGCTGCCAATCCTGCCATTTAAGGTGTCACTTACTCAGGGAGACTAACATTCACGCACATCGTGAGTTTTTTGGGGTCAAGTATCTTGCCCAAGGAAACATTGAAAAGTTGACTGCTGGAGCTGGGCTTGAACCCAACCTTTGATATTTAATTTAGCCCCATAAGTAGGATGTTGCAAAACACAAAGAAACAGCTGATCGTTCATGTAATCTTTGTTACAGGTGGTGATCTCCGAGGGCTGCGTCACTCAGGGAGATTCATCTGATGCCAGCGAGGGAGGTAAAACCCTGCAGAGCAGTACTGTTTATCTAATGAAAAATATCCTCAACCAATGTCACTTTCTTACGACTTCATCATTGCTAATCTCAAAGTTCAGTTTCAACCTTCTCCCAGTTTTAATCCAACCTGTTCCTCTCTCAGGTAAAGAAATAGACCTGACTGCCGGTTCCTCTCTGGTTCTGACCCATAAGATCAAACTGGTTCCGTCAGGCTTTGGGTCGGGATCCGGGTCTTGTGGTTGTGAGGCGGACTTTGCTGCCCTGCGAGAGCGTCTGGAGAGGCTGGAGAGGGAGGTGTCGTCCCTCAGGGAGAAGTGTGGAGGACCTGAGGGGGGCTGCTGCACCTCCAAAGAGAGCAAAGGTATGACCAGGTGGCTGTTACTTTGACCTACAGAGTGGTGCAGGAATACGTCCCAAAACCGGAAATGAGCTAGCATTTCACCACTTCAGGTTCCCTTGTCTTGAAGTAAAAAAAATGTTTAACTTGTTTTTGGTTAGATGCCTGAAATAAGGTCTGTGGTTAACACTAGCTGAAGATATTTTAATATTGTGTACAACGGTACAACCACATAAATACATCAGTAAATACCCCACTGGTGAATGTCTGAAGCTACTATGTGTCGCAACAGCGGTTGCTAACAAGTGGCTTAATGAGACTACAAAACCCACGCTGAACATTAGCCGCACTTAGCTTAGCAGTGGTGAAGTCATGTGACGGCGATGCAGTTTGTTTATGGCCTAACGTTACCTTTTTGATTCTGGCGATTGCATTTACGCTTCAAAATTATAAATCAGTGTTAATATGTGGATATTATCCTGCTGAACAAAACGTGTAAGCATGAACTTGTGTTTTTCCCGAAATCCAATCCAAGTACTCTATTTATTTTTACTTCTTGGTTGGCCACCAAAAAATACGTAATTACTGCACTGCTCTATTTCTATTTAACTTTACGTATATATCTATATATATATATACGTATATACTGTATGTATATTCATGACTTAATAAGCAACAAAAGTGGCTATAATCCGTTTAAAAACAAAAGGCCTCATTCACCATTAGATCCCTAAATTTGTTCTTAACTATTTTTGATGAAAAAGCACCAAAGAAAACTCTACGTCAGATTCTTCACGGTTCCTAACCCGCAGGGTTGTTTCAACCAGTGTTCCTATAATAATTCATATCATTGTCTTTGTTAATTGAAAGTGCATTCCAAGAAGAGTTGGTCAGTTTAGACTTCATAAAGATATTCTGCTACGTTTGATTTATTTTGTGCAAGTTACAAGTTTGGCCTTAAGGTGGCGCTAAAATAAAAGTGAAATGTTACAAAACCATAATCAAGTAGCTGGTAATGTGATGAAATGCACTAAGGATTTGTATACAGGAAGGTTATTAATGAAATGAACAAAAAGTTCAAATGATTCAAATGACTGCCCCTTTCAAATGTATTGTATCATTTGTGGTGATTGACATTATTCACCCACGGAACTATGGGTTGGGGTATTGTTCCGCACGGACATAGTGAGTTGACCGGACCCTTGTTTCCCCCGGTCTGTTCTTCCCGGGCTGAAAGCTGTTTTACATGTTGACCTGATGTTAAATAAAAGTCTAGCTTGTACCTTCGATACCCCGCCTCCGACTCCCGTCTCTCGGCACTACATTGGTGACCCTGACATAAGTCTCGTAGAAGGATCCGAGACTGAACCGAGCATGGCAAATAACGCCGTTTTTTTCAAACTGCCGGAGTTTTGGGATACATCTGCGGCTGCATGGTTCGCACAGGCGGAGGCTCAGTTCGCCCTCCGCGGAGTAACTGATGACGCATCACGCTATTTCCACGTCGTTTCGGCACTGGGAAGCTCCACTGCGACCCGGACGGTAGGCTTTATTACATCTCCCCCTGCGCCTCTACGGCAAGGACCTACGAGGAAGTCTCCTCCTCGACCGCTGTTCCTACGTATTGCTAGAATAGAGATTTATTATATAATCATAGATTATTACCGTACAGAGAGTACCTCAGTACAATAATACTAGAACCACCAAAATACTAAACCGAACGTAATCCAACCAATAATATGACTCAACGACCTAGAAAACCCATGCGGCTTCAGCTAGTCAATCAGTTTGCATGGTACTTTCACATAGAGACAACTCGACCCCCTTCAAGAATTCAGGTTTGCCGGTATTTTCTTTTTTATGCGTCCTTGGCGCTATTTCGTGCTACTTTCCACCTTGCTTGGCCGCATTAGTCTTGTGCCGGAAATGAATTCCGTCATAAACCCGCTGCAGACTCCCCCACGTTGGCCTTGGACTACCATCGGGCGTGGTCTTAGGTGGGAACCCTCTTTTGGTCGTAAACGGGCGTTCCACACTTTCTCTTTAAGGACCTACACTCCCCCTGGGACCCATCGGGGACCGCATCACCGCAGCAATTCCGCCGGCATCAGTGGTGTGCCACGGTCGAGTGGCCGAACTAAATCCCTGGTTACACCTCGCCCTTCGGGGTTCCCGAAGGCTCGCCGTCCTAACTACGGGTCTGCGAGGTACGACAGCTTGAAGTGCTGAACCGCTGACTGTCGTACAGGGTCCCAACTTCGGCGGCCCGGAATCGTATCTGAACCCCCCGGAAGTCGACAGTTACACCACAGCATTCGGGGCCAAAACCATCACGTCGCCTTTTCCACCCGACGCAGTCAGCCCTTTGGAGTGGACTTCTTCCTAACCACGATCCTTGAGTACGTGAACCAGACCACATCCAACTAGTTAAAAACAGACGACACTCTCCTAATCAGACCTCTTCGGCACGACTTTAACTCACTCACCTAAATAAACGCCTTCGAGCGGCGCCCATGGTTACCGCTTGCTCCGTTCTGCAGTCCGCAGGTGGGTCCGCCGACAAGAACTGAGGTGGGGTCGTTTCAGGCACTCGCGTAGTCCTTCAGACCGCGGTTCACTCCCGCTTCCTCTACGTCGGCAACTACTTATAGCTGTGAATCTAGGAACGACTGCGGAGATTTGTGTCCAGGTAGGGACAGAAACCACAGTATATCACGCCTAATTCCCGCACAGCAATCGCCTGCAGTTTTCCACCCGGCACCCGGTGGCCGCCGCAGGGAGGAGTGGCTCGTACAGGCCGTGCTCTACATGCATGAGGCGCACCGAGACACAGGTGTTCCTCAGGCGCTGGGTCTCTCTCCCACATCAGTGACTACTTGATCCTCGGCCAAACCCCTACAACGGGTGGTCGGAGCGTCCGGTGACCAAAACTGGCTCGGAGCGACTATCCGGAACCGCAAAGGGCATACAAGGAACATCCACGGTCCCCCCTGCCGTGTTTATTCAAGGGGAGGGTCGAAAGCACGGGTAGGAGTAATCGCACGTATGCCATGAACTGTGTCCGGTCCCGCGACCTCAGCGCCATCTGCCGCCGCGCCGCTAGTAGGCCTCATTTCTACGAAGGACGATCCGACCGTACTGAAGCTACAGGGTCAGGGACCGTTCCACTTTTCAGCTCGGGCTACGCACAGTCCCCGTCGTGGAGTCCCCATGTATCCTTGCGGACCCACCGTCCTCTTCTTGGCCCAGTGTCACAGAAGATGTACTTGATTTCGAGCGGTACCACCGAGTCATTATCCGGGGTGGTCCCCAACAATCGCTCGCGACAGACTTGACCGCCGTACACCGGCCTTCTTTGTCAAGATACTTGTTTTTTAACCCAAGGAAGGCATGGATCGTCCAACTCGTAGTAAAGGTACACCAGTCTTTCCGAACGACAGAGGTCGATACTTATCGCTCGTCCGCAGCCCGGCAAGGCTGGCTCTGTCGAGCGCTTTCAGAAATCGTCCTTTCCGGAACTTGCGACGTATAACGTATAAA